AGTATACTAGTGCCATCTAGTGGCATCACTAATCTCCATCTACAACGGAAAATATACAGAGGTGTTCAGTATCAGTATACATAGTAAATGAGGAAGTATATACAGTAAATGTTTAGGAGGGACGATGATCAAAGAAATGTGACTAAAGATTAAATAAATCACGTTTGCAATTCCCAAGCAATCTTCAGGTTGAACAATTTCGTTATTCTTTAAATATAATCAGTAAATTATAGGGTTTGTTCCCCATTCATTCATTTCTTCTTTCACTGGTTTATACAGTTATTTGTATGTTATATATACTTTATCCTCTGCACATTTTGTATACTGCATACTGTACTAGAGTTAAATGATGAATTTAGGAACATTTATGAGCAAATCCATATTCTGATAGACTTTGGGAGGAAATCAATGCAAATCATATGGTCATTAAAATCTAGTATAAAATATGAGAAGATAGAGCAGTGCTGGCAAAGAATTAATCAACTTCACTCAGAATTAGAGGAAGACTCATAAAGGAGATAATTCTAATATTCCTACCTTTTCACCAACTGCCAAGTACCATTATTGATCTATTTGCATTTAAACCTTCAAACCACTGCCACTAAATTTAAATGTCCGTAAATGCTGCATTCACCACCCATGTGTTATGTTCATCACCTTGCTGATGTATGACTAGTGACTTCCTAGGACCTACATAACATAAAGAGACTAGAAGGCCAAAATGCTTGATTTAAAATACAGGCTCCATCACTCTTGTTGCTTTGTATGGAAATTGCTACTTAAGCTCAACATGCCACAGTTTCCTCACCTGTACAGTGGGATGATTGTAGTTCCTAATTCATAGGGTTGTTGTAATAAATTATTACAGCTATTCTGATAGTCAGACAGTGAGCAGTAAGTATTAGTGGTTATTATAATCATCACACTCTTCTGCCTGACCCGCTTCACATTCCATTATTGGGGTCTTTCCACTCTGAACTCGAAGGGATATAAGAATAACTAATATTCAAAGGCTCCTTTAAAACAGATTTTGCTTGGCCGATGTGGCTCAGTACTTGAGCTTCAACCCAGGAACCAAGAGGTCACTGGCTCAATTCCCAGTCGGGGCACATGCCCAGGTTGCGGACTCTATCCCAGTGGGGGCTATGCTGATCCATTATGTTTCTCTGCCTTCCTCTCTTTTTAAAAATCAATACAAACATTTAAAAAGTACATCTAAAACATTTAGATTTCAAAACAATTCAACATTTATTTAGAGCTAGCTTATCCCTTTCATGTGAACCTTTTATTCTACCCAAGCCAGTGCTTTCTCTGTCCTTAAATATTGTCTATTGTTGATCTCTCCTATGCCTTTGTCTAATTAAATCATCTTTCAAGGTCCAGCTCATATCTACACTTCCCATGAACCCTCATTTTACTGATAGCATCTTTCTTTTATGAATTTCTATAACTTTGTGAATCACAATGAACTGCTCATGAGAGCCTCATTTTGGCCTTTAATAATATGTACTAGAATAGATTATAGCTTTGCTTTAAGTATGTATATACTGTTCTTTTCTACTTCAGTGATGTTCAGTTGGAGTAAAGGAAAGAGCATCCCACCTCCAAACAGAATATTATATTAAATTTATCTGAATAATTTTCCAAACTCTTCCTCTCAACTAGAATTATCACATGACCCCACTAAATTGGTGTCTAATTACCTTATGACACCAATATTAATGTTGGATGTACAATTTCCCTACAATATACTAGTATGCAAACAATGCTAAAATATACTAAATTGAAAGGCCTCTGATTCCTTTTAAATGGCTTTAAAAAATTTTTGTATATATTTGGGAAAGTCCATATAGAAAAGAAACGGGTGTTGTATCCTAAACTTTTTTTAAAACAACGAAATGACTAACTGGAAATTATTGAAGGAAATAGTTCTAAAGGCACAAGTCTTCTAAGCGATATCCCATTTTGAAATTTTAAAAGGGGTAGGCTAATAAAAGTTAAATTCGCTAACATTAATTAAGGTCCTCATCTCTGAGTGATGCATATTGAGAAACCCGTCATTTAAAGAAGCCATCGTCGTTTGCTGAATTAATGGAACACAGGCTCAGAGCTGCTTTGTCACCAAAAGCTGAGCTGGTTCCTGAGTTCCCACAGCAGCAAGGATGCACCACAACACCCAGTTCTGCACCGTGAGCCCAGTTTCAGATCCACGTGCTCTCCAAGTGGAGCATTCGTCTCCTTGGGTTGACTTATTCACATGACAAATGCAAAGCACACAGACCCTTCTCTTTTACCGACTCCTTACCTTCTTGGAGGGTGTCCAAGTCAGGGTTATGTACACGCATTTGTACGTGTTTGCCTGATAGGTGGCCTGAGCCAGGCTCCTTACTGAAGAGTCCGAGACACGGGCCTCAGCACTGGAATCCCCATCCCCTGCGGGCCCTAGAACTCCCAAGATCTCTCGAGATCAGCCTTTCGCTGGGAAGAGTGAATTGGCAGCACCGGAGCTGTAGGCCAGGCAGATTAGTCCATTATCTGAGCCACTCCTAAGGCTCAGTGCATCCGAATCCATCCTTTCCCTCCCCCTCCACACACCAAAAAGTATCTCAGTATTTCTTCCTCTCTCCTCTCCATATATCGATCACAGATACACATAGAGAGGATTTTTAGAAATTAGCTCACATTGTAGAGACCAGCAATCTCAAAATCTCTGTGCTTGTTCAGCAGGCTTGGGGAGGATTTGCAGTTTAGTTCCAAGGTCTGCTGGCGGAATTCTCTTCTCCTGGGGAGGTCAGTCTGTCTCTATTAAGGCCTTCAACTGACTGAGACCCACCACATTGTGGAGAATAATCTGCTCTACTCAAAGTCTACTGCTTTAAATGTTAAACCCATCAAAACAAAACACACACACACAAAAAAACCCTTTACAGTAATATCAAGAATAATGATTGACCAAATAGCTGGGTCAAACATTGACACATAAAATGCCACCATGACACAAAATGAAGCATCACAAATGCCTTCTCTACCTCCCATCACAATACTACTTGTCTTTGTCTAAACACGTCCCAATGCCCTAATCCTGAAAGTAATTCAGATAAGAGATCAGAATGGATCTCTTATCTGAATTATTTTCACCCTCTTGTACTACTGCTTTAGGAACTTATGTGAAAAATTCTATTGAAAGCCCTAGGACGTATATTACCTCACATTTTTACTTATGATATCTTGGGTTTGTGGAATGTGAATCTCCTTAAAAACATGGTCTATGTTGTATTTCTCCCTCACTTACCACAATATCTGGGAAACAGTATTAAATAAATATAAAAAAAATAGTCATTGAGTTCCTGTGGATGTGAATATAAGCTTTACAAGCTCACATGCTCATATCCGTTTTATTTATTGCTGTAGCCCCAGCACTTGGAAGAAAGCCTGGTTCATAATCGCACCTTAAGAGCTATTTGGTAGAGAAATTAGAAAAAAAAATCAGTGGCAAATAATGAGAAAATTAAGTAAAACATAAGCTCCAAGAAAATGGAGATTTTATGGTTTTATATGTACTCCAAACACCTGACACAACTCTGGCCATAATTGCTCATTAAATGAATTGCATTGACCCTAACGAAAATTCAACAGATTCTCTGTATTACCAATTTTCAGCATATGGAAGAATGCTTTTACTTACTGAAAAAAAGAAAAATCAAATTATAGGAGAGGTGCTGTTAGATATAAAATAAAAATTATAACTATTTTGTTTATATTGTATTACAGCTTATTATGCCTCACTGGGATCTTTCACTTACATTCTATTGTTGAACCACCTCAGAACTAAAATAGTGCATATTTTAAAGTAACATTAAATGTACTTCATACATTTTAGCAAGAAATGATAAATTTTAAACAGATATATTTTTAACTGTACAAAAGATAAATTTAACATATATGTTTTTATTTTTTTAAATATATTTTATTGATTTTTTACAGAGAGGAAGGGAGAGGGATAGAGAGTTAGAAACATCGATGAGAGAGAAACATCAATCAGCTGCCTCCTGCACATCTCCTACTGGGGATGTGCCCGCAACCAAGGTACATGCCCTTGACCGGAATCGAACCTGGGACCTTTCAGTCCGCAGGCCGACACTCTATTCACTGAGCCAAACTGGTTTCGGCACATATATGTTTTTAAATACCCATCCTATACTAAATAAAATAAAAGTCAAAGTAAAACTATCAATTTCATACTTTTATACAGTGGGGCCTTGACTTACGAGTTTAATTCATTCCGAGACCAAGCTCATTAAGGAGCTCGTTAAGGAGCTCATTAACTCAAATTACTCTGTCAACTCAATGCAAAAAATCTGCCAAGAGATAGCTGGTATCTCAACAAACTCGTTAGTCGGGACACTCGTAAGTCAAGGCCCCACTGTATATGTCTTAAAAGGACAAAAATTCAGCATGCTTGTATTAATGTGACTATTTGAAGAAAGGTCTCAGATTACTAAAATCTTTTACATAAGCTTTTTGGCAATAGTATAACCAGGAACCCCCTGCTAAGAGATACTGCTACAATAAAATTAAAATAAAATAATAAAATAAAATAAGTATTTTATTTAAGGACTAATGTTTCATTAATTCCACATAAGAAAACTAAGAACTCCTAACCAAAATGTTTGTAGGTTTCAACTTTTATTTATCTTCACACTGAGGTCAAAAGAGGGTTGGGCTGAGATTAGTGAAAGAATATTGTTCCCTGTTCATTGACTACAATATCCATACAGATGACATCTCATGGAGAGATGTGACTACACCAGTCATTTTCAAACCCTCAAGTCCATCATCTTGTATAGTCCATGTTTATATGTATGAATCAAAACCAGCCTTGTTATTAAGTGAAATGACATGGAAAAGGAAATTTTACTAGAAGACTTTATGCAATTATCCCATTTCTCTTGTATAGCTGGTAACTGATACAATAAAAATATTTACTTTTTCCCTCATAGGACCTGATTGGTGACTTGAAGGAGAAGCTTTCAGATCACTTCAAAGATGTTATGGTTGGCCTCATGTACCCACCACCATCTTATGATGCTCACGAACTCTGGCATGCCATGAAGGTAGTGGTCTGATGCAAAAAGAGACCTGTAATAGGCACAGGCCCTTAGTTTGGTAGAGAAGAAAGCGCCCTGTGATGTTGTTACATATGATCTGGAAGAACAAAGGGAATATCTGAGCAAAGAAGAGACCATGGAAATGCTGTGGTCAGGAGAAGTGGCCCTGTCAGGAGAGGGGTCCTCTAGAGATCACGGGGTGGGATTAGCCTGTTCTTTTGTTATACAGATTCAGACTTCCTGGCCCAGCTGAGCTACCAAAAGGAAAAAGTAAATAAGCTTCAGGGTCTTATTCAGATTCTCCCTCCCCACCCTGTATTCTTATATTAAGGGGAAATGTTACCTCACGTGAATCTCTTTAAATTATTTGTAAAAAAATTTGGCTTATTAAGTAAAAATAGGATACTGAGTTGGACACAATATATAGATGGCATCTTTATTTGGATATTTTTGTGATCTTAAGTTAGTCCGTTACCAAAAAACTATTACTCAAATATATCTAAATTTTACTTCTGAAGGATTAGAATATTCTTTTTCACAGGAAAATAATTTCTATAAAATAAATCACCTACAGATTTGTTAGAAATTTTGTTGACTAGGGATAGGGAACAAAAAAGAGTTTTTACTTCTTTCCAAATGTTGATATTAAACACCTGCAGGACTATTGAAATCATTCCAATACAATGCCTGCCAAGGACCAAATTACCACCATCTGTGAACAACGTGGGACAAGAAAGAGGAAAGGAACAAAAAATTAAGGCAATCTGGATTTTAGCCATCGTATATTTGTAGATCAGAATAGGCACTGTATAAAATTCTTATGAATTTCAACTAATTGCTTTTTTAAAGTTACATATGTCAATTACTACATCTTGCAAAGTTATTAGATTAAAAACTATAAGAAGGAAGTCATGTTACTGTTTAGATCAGTGGTTCTCAACCTTCTGGCCCTTTAAATACAGTTCCTCATGTTGTGACCCAACCATAAAATTATTTTCGTCGCTACTTCATAACTGTAATGTTGCTACTGTTATAAATCATAATGTAAATATCTGATATGCAGGAGGGTCTTAGGCGACCCCTGTGAAAGAGTCGTTCGACCGCCAAAGGGGTCGCGACCCACAGGTTGAGAACCTCTGGTTTAGATGAAACTAATATTTTTTCTATACCACATAGAACAGTAGTAAGAATTTCTGAAGCTTTTCCGAAAAAGACATGTTGTCTTTAAAATTACTATCAGAGAAGAATACAAAGCAGGGCAAAATAGACTTATAGTTATGAATCTCAAAACAGAGGTTATTCTTGTATTATTATTTATTAGTTATTGTATTGTTTTCCATACGAACAACTGTAAACCTACTTTTGCCCCACTCTGTATATGCGTTAGACTGCAAGAGACCATGGAAGTACCCAATTCAAATGTTTAGGCAAATGGTACAAAATTCCATATCTAGGAAAAGGCAGGGAGCGGTCCCTAATCATCCTTAGGAAATTAAGGACCCTAGGCTCTAATTTCAGCTTGCCAAAACATTGATATTTGAGCAGCAAAAAATCAGAGTCCTGAGCATTGTTTAAATATCTTTTTCCACATTATTTAGAAATGCCCATGTTGTTTTATTCTAAATGAAGGAACAGGTTTCAAATAATATTATCTTCTCAAACAGCTGGTAAATAGCAGACGCAGACTGAATTGGGCTTATCTTGAACCTAAACACACTCCTGTTGGCCTCTGCCTCCTCTCAGAATTCCAGAAAGCTGTATCCCTTTATACTGCATAAGGTGCACTATTATTCCCAGTGCAAATACCTTGATATTTCTCTTTTTCTGTCTTTCCAGGGAGTAGGCACTGAAGAGAATTGCCTCATTGATATATTAGCTTCAAGAACAAATGGAGAAATTTTCCAAATGCGAGAAGCCTACTGTTTGCGTAAGGAAATACACATATTTACACACATATCAACCTTATATTTTTCAAATAAAAAAAACAAAATTATTGATGTATTTTAAAGGATTTTCTAAGACACTCTTATATTTGAAATATAAAAACAATAAACTCATTAAGTAAAAGTGATGATTAGGGTCTTAAAAATGAAATAATTGCCCTGGCCGGTGTGACTCATTTGATTGGGTGTCCTCCTGTGCACCAAAAGATTGCTGGTTCGATTCCCCATCAGGGCACATGCCCAGGTTGTGGGCTCAATTACCAGTAGAAAGTGTGCAGGAGGCAGCCAATTGATGTTTTGGCTCTCACATCGATGTTTCTCTCTCTCTCTCTTCCTCTCCCTTCCACTCTCTAAAAATAAAAAATCTATATATTAAAAATTTTTAAATTAAAAATGAAACTATTCCCTAGACAATTAAATGAAGTATTTTTTCCAGGAAAATAATTACAAGTTTCTATGAGGTGAATGTTTACATTAAGACAGGAAAATGCCCAGCACAGTGGTTCAGAGATCATTTTAACTCTTACTCAGGAGAGACCAGGTACATAGACAAAATAAAGCGATGTGCAATAACTGCTCAGCTAATTGTACAAATATGGGTGACTACTTCACTTTATATGCATTTTACAATCACTGTAATCTACCTCAAAATCAGATTTTTACACATTTTTAAACCTTTTCAAAAAGGTTTAATGCATTCCGTATTATGTGACATTGAATGTCAAGAAAATGTCCCAGGCAGTCTGCTATATTGCATTTGAACAAAAACAAATCTTTCCCAAAGGGAATGAAGTAAGACCCTTCACTTAAAATATTAAAGTAAGACAAAGCACTAGGGAAAAGCTCTGGGCTGAGCAGCAGTCTATGGAAATATAATTTATCATTCTAAATTTTGAGAATTAGAAAACGTGAAATGACTTCCAATATTGTTTTTCAACTTTGGAATGAAGTTAATAGATAATATGTTTTAAGAAAACAGACCCGTGCCAACGTTACTGTTATGTGGGTTAACTGTTTATTGGCTTCTTCTGAGTAGAAGGTATTAAAGGACAAAGAAATATCAACAGATTGATTTTATTTCCTTTGTTTTCCACTCTCAACTGAGGAAGTAGCATTAACTTAGTCGAAGTGCATCGCTATATGGTTCTATAATAACTCACAGCTTTAACATGGGTGTTTTCTTATTCAGAGTACGGCAGTAACCTTCAAGAAGACATTTACTCAGAGACCTCAGGACACTTCAGAGATACTCTCATGAACTTGGTCCAGGTATGATACTCAAAAATTCACACCATTTTGCACTATTAAAAAAAAATAGGTATGTTTCATTTTCAAAAAACAGAATGGAAACCTCCAGTTTAACAGTAAATTCTATATGATAACACTTACTAAATACCAAATCAATTAAAGCCACTATAATAGAAACATGAATTGGGCATAGAAAGAAGCAAATATAAATAGTACACCATCTCTGTAATTTTGCTATCTTCATTTGGGGGGATTCCTATGTCAAATCAAAGACAGAAAGTATGGTTTCCTTTAATGTGATGAAAAACTTCATACTGCACTTTACACATATTTTGTATGATTTAATTAGTGGATGAATAAATATATTAGCCAGGTTAGAGCACAAACTAACAATTCCATTCATTGCCAGAAATCATGGATTTTAGTTCTTGTGTGTATGTATGTGTGTGTATGCCCACATTATTGTTAGTTTTGAATTAGGAATAAAGAAGTACAAAAGAAAACATTGAGGAAGCCAAGTATATATTGCCCCAAGTTGAGGAGAATGGTAATTCACACTGATTGGGTTCCTTCAAATTGTTCGATTGAAAAGAGTGGCACAGTACTAGGCAAATCAAATTTAAAATTTTAATTAAAAACAAAATTAAGAATTTGCTTTATTGTGTTTTCTATTTGATTTTATTTAGATTTGCGTGGTTTGGCTGCATAGTTCATAAACTGCCAATCTCAGTGAATCAAGTCCTATTCTGAGGATTCTAAATCTAAAATTGTAATGTCAATGGAGAGTAGAAAGTTTGATTTTTTATAGCTCAACTTGAATTCTATGTAAGTTTAGAGTAAGCTTATTTTCATTTGTAAGAGAAGTTTAAGTGATTGTAGGGAACATTAATAATTATTATTAATATTTAAAAATAATCTCACTTGTCATGCCAATTGAATACTTTCTAACTAATTTTAATATACTTTTATTGATTTCAGAGAGAAAGGGAGAGATAGAAACATCAATGATGAGAGAGAATCATTAATCAGCTGCCTCCTTCATGACCCCTACTGGGGATTGAGCCTGCAACCTGGAAATGTGCCCTGGCCAGGAATCGCATTGTGGCATCCTGGTTCATAGGTCGACGCTCAACCACTGAGCAACACCAGCCAGGTTTCTAACGTTTAAATGTCATAAAATTAATTTTAATTAAAACGTTCTCTCGATTTAGAAGGGACATTATTTTTTTAATTTTCAAGTAATGATGCTACATAATATAAATTAAAACAAATGATTTCCAATAAGAATTTCACATTGGTGTATGTATTGTTGCTAATAGAAGAGTAAAGCAAATAATTCCATTGTAAATTTATGAGATGCATTCTGATATCAAATAAGTTTTTATTTTCTTTATATCCACATAGAGATGCATTTTACTTATTGAAGAAAAATATGTTTCCCAATAGAAAAAAAAAGTATTTCTTTAGGCCTACTATATCAGAGCTAGATAGACTACTGTATCAGACACCAGCTTCTCCTTCTGCCCAATTCTGCTTCCTTTCTCTCCCTCTATCTGTGTTGATCCCAAGCACATTCCATAATAAACAAGAGCATGCTGGTCTCCAGCTGAGAGTCACCTTCCCAGGGAACCCAACTGGCTATATCTTTTCCATTGAGAGATGAGGAAACTAAAGCCCTAGAGAGGTTAAATGGCCTGTCCAACATTACACATTCCCTACATGCGAGGGCTAATATGAAAACAGACTTTAGTGCACTATACCTCCATTGTTCACTTTAATTAACCTCCAACCCCATTTGATCCCACTCCAGTTCTACTTCTATTTGGTAAAATGTCAATGACCAATACATAAATAACCCCTTAGATAGAATCTCTGCACCTCCTTAAAGGTTGAGCTATAAACCACCTAAAAGTAACTGACATCTAAGAGTCAGGATCACAGTGTATTTTTATAAAGCACACATTCTTATATTTCAGGGGGAAAAAGCACTTCTGAAAATTAGACATGAGATAAAATAAATCAGAAGGGGGAAAAACAATGAAATAATGTTTTCCCTTGATGTAATAGGGAAGTCAATCTTATTCGTAATTGCAGTTCCTTTTCCCTGAAATTAAACAATAATGCTTTATTATTATAGGGTCTATAAGTATCTGTATTTGTATATATTATAGTATTATCTGTATCCAGTGGTCTGCAAACTCATTAGTCAACAGAGCCAAATATCAACAGTACAATGATTGAAATTTCTTTTGAGAGCCAAATTTTTTAAACTTAAACTATATAGGTAGGTACATTGTTATTAACTTAATTAGGGTACTCCTAAGGCTTAGGAAGAGCCATACTCAAGAGGCCAAAGAGCCGCATGTGGCTCGAGAGCCACAGTTTGCCGACCACGGGATAGACTCACGTATTTTAAAATAACACACAACAATTTATTTCATCACTTGGTTTCACCTAATTTGTATTGAAACTTTACAGGATAAAGTATAACTTCTTAAGTTAAATTTCTAGAGTTTAAACTTTAAGTGTGTGTGTGTGTGTGTTTAACCTTGAAATAACTTTTCAGTGTAATAAAATTTTTCTCTCAATATAGAATATAAAAAATGAGGGTAAATAGAGACCTAGATTTTATCAAAAGCCAAGAAAATTAATGAAGTTTACTTAAAGATTATATACTTACAAAGTTTTACATTTCCCGTAAAGTTTAAAATGTATAAAAATGTATATTTAATAGAAATTATTTTACTCATAATAGAAAATAGAAGTAAAAAACTTATAAAATGTGTATCTTCATATAATCCCCCTTAATATTCATCTTTTTTGGAAATCAAAAGTTCATGATAATTCATACTTCTTAGTAAAATGTATGATTTATCTTAAATTTTAAAATATTTTGAAGATATTCCACTGGCTCTTCAGTTTGGAACTCCTGATTTATGATTTGGCTCAGCATATTGAAAAGATTGGAAGAAGATATAAAGTGAATTAGGAAACTGAGACAGTTCATCCCTTCTCCTGACCACTATCTGTGGGTACACCATTTCACAGAGAATCTATCCACATATTTTACAAAAAGAAAGTGGAGTTCATTCCTAAAGGGGTATGAAATTTAGAGCTGATAAGTTGCATCAGGCAATTGAGGGGTGCTGCCATGTAACCATATCTCTTCAACCCTCTTGTTGGGATTAGTATTCTCTCTGTCCCTACCTGCCTATCTATCTATCTATCTATCTATCTATCTATCTATCTATCTATCTATCTATCTATCATCTCTGTAAAACAATAAGTCATGTATTAGATATCTGTTTCTCTTGGCTCTGTTATGATTTAGCTGTATGTCCTTGGATTTATCATTTAACCTTTTTGTGATTCAGATTAGAGAAATTCACTCTGTAAATTAAGGGATGTGAACCCATTCTTCTTGCAATGCCCTCCTAATGCAAATACTGTAAATTTCTTCAATTATTAATATGACATTCTCTACCTCCATCTGCATGGGGACTTTCGGAATCAGAGGAAAGACTGTCCATAGCTTTCACCTTTTCCACATCATGAAAATTAAGACACAACTCTTTTTGTGAATTAACAGAGATGGAGGGAATCGGAGCACTGGAGCCTAAGGAGGTCATGAAATGGGAAGTGCTGGAAATCACTGTCATATTTTCTGGGAGAGAAGATCTTTCACTGAATCTATAGAGTATTTTCCCTCAGGGCTATTTCTAATAAAGTAATAACTCAGCCAGAAAACGTTCCTCTTGAAAACTAATGCCAATCATTAAACTGGGCTCATAATACTTCCTGTGTGCTTTTATTAAACTAGACTTACAGGAGATCTAATTATCTGTCAAATAATGAAAAATGAGTCACTCGGAGATTAATTAATCAATATATGCAAATCACACTGGAGATGATAAATGTTTTCACAGAGAAAGAATGGAAACTACCAAACTGGATGCTTACTCCTCATCTTGGCTGTCAGAATTCTCCTTGTGACACTTTCTCAGACTTGTACAGTGACGCCTCTGGGGATGTCATTGCCAAAAGCCTCCAGTGATCATTTGTAGTCAGCGTACCTGCTCCAAATATTCTCAGCTATATTTTAATTCCCTTTATTTCAAATTTCCTTTCGCATTTTTATTTTGCCCCTAATCCAAATTCTGTACTCATTTATTCCATTTATCTGGCATTTATATCTTAGGCTGTTTTTTTATGTGACATCAGATTGATTCCGCCTTAGTGGAAAAAGCTAAATCACAAACTTATTCACTTCCTTTTACTCTATCAGTCTCCTTAAAGTGCTCTCAGCACTGTGGTAATTTGAAAATAATATAACACCCATATCTTACCAATCAATGAAAGTACATTCACTTTAAATGTTGTCTTCTATTTCTTGCTTATCTATGTATAAAGGACAGTTTTATATGTAAATACACAGATTTTAAAAATAAGAATTGCATGTGTGCGTTCTTAGTCACCTGATATTTTATTGTGTCTGATAGGCTCAGTAAGTTTTTCCTTAGCTGTACTCCGCTAGATGATACACATACACAACTTCTGAGTTATGATTAAACATATTAAATTTCCACAGCTAAAATGTAGTCACAAGAAAATTTCACTGGGAATATATTGATCTTTCCCATTTGCCTTCAATTTTTTGGTTCGCAAGAGGAAAGAACCAATATTTAATCTAATATGGAAAATTTAATATATAGAATATGTGGAACAGTCAATGTGAGAGTACATGTTCAATAGCATTTATATGTTTATTGAGTTAAATACTCAACTGTCAGATTCCTGGCCCTCCTTCTCTTTAAGATGGCACTTGGTGGAGAGGTGAGTGTGGTTTATGAGATGTCTTGGCAACAGGAGAGCAATAGTGTCCCCAGATCATCAAGATGTGTTCTACATCCTTGCTCATTTCAGCTATGGAAGGGTAGTTGTGGGCAACTCTGGACATTAGCATGTAAGGGGTAGAAGTCCAAGATATGAGTGTTTCTCAGTGTTCGCTGTCAAACCATACAGCTGGTGAATTTATGAGCTTTATGTGTTTATTTTTGGTCACCATTTGGTCAGAGCCAAGTAAACTCTCATGATGGTTTAGCCTCATCATTGCTTTCTCTGGAGCTGAAGAATCCTCCTAAAGACTAGCCATGTCTCTCACACAGTTCCAGCCAAGTGGTCTACCACATAACCCCTGGCTTCTGGAACAGTCTGTCTCTGCCATGGTCATAAACAGTTCCATCTGTCAAACTCGCCAACCAGAATCTCAGCTGGCATGCCAGTTCCTCCATCGGGAGCAGAGAAGAAATTTGGGACCCATTCATGTCACTTAGGTGTTAAGATTAATTCAAGAGAGTTATATTCAGCACCTCCCTCTGCCCAGTTGTGCTTCATATCACTGCAATGTGGCCCTTTCCGGAGTCTGAAAAGACGCTAGAAGAAACCACTTTATCCTTCAGTGTTTTCTTAGTACAGAATATATGGGGGGGGGGGGGATGAAATAAAAATTTTTAAAAAGCCGTTTCTCTACATCTCAACCCAAATGAAAGGCTAAATAAACTGATCGCTTATCTCTCCTACCTCCTTCTTCCCTCTTGCCTGCATATTACTCAGCGACCAGAGGATCCTGCATTGGGTCCTCCTATTTGGAAAGGCACATTCCTTAGGTCAACTTGGCCATGTCTATTCTTTATATAATGAAGGGATGGGGATAAAACAAATCACAAAGTATTGGCACTCCACCAAATCTAGATTTCATGGTTATTTTATTGTTGCATATATCTCATCTCATATGTCAGAGACCGAATATTAACTCATTCTTCCTCTGTGCATTTTCACTCTAACAATGTTAAATCTCATCTCTACCACCCACGGCCAGGCGCTGGATGCTCTTTTTTATGGTAAAGAAGATACTGCACAGAAACTTGGAAAAGTGAAGAACATTTCAACATCTTTGAAATATTACCACTGCTGCAAAGAAAAACAAAATAAAACAAAAGAACCCACATTTAAAGAAAAGATATTTCATAAAGTATTCAAGAAAGATAAGGCTAACTCTAAATAATGATAGAACTTTCTTAGGAATTACCAATGTGTTTGCGATTCAAAGGTTTTTGTCCCAATAATTCTATATAAATTGTCAGTTAAGTACAGTTACAAAGGAAAACCCGTGCTTACTTTACAGGGAAGCAGAGAGGAAGGTTACACAGACCCTGCCATGGCTGCTCAGGATGCAATGGTAAGTAGAACCAGCTCTCAGAATGACTGTAAAGACCCATTGATTATTAAACTGGTGTGGCCTGGGGAGGTTCTGGTGCTCCTTCCTGCATCTCTGATGTTTCAGGTCCTGTGGGAAGCCTGTCAGCGGAAGACAGGGGAACACAAAACCATGCTACAGGTGATCCTGTGCAACAAGAGTTACCAACAGCTGTGGCTGGGTAATTAGTAATCAGGTTTCTTTTCAGATACTTAACTGATTATATAGTAGAAAGCAAGTAATTAACGGGGAAAAAAATAGGAGTGTGGGGGAGGAATGTTACATATAAATAGAAGAAAAGCCAGTTATCTCAAAGGTACTGATTTGGAATTGTGTTTATACAGACATGCTTCACCTAAAAATATTACTAAGGCATAAAATTTCGCTATAATTTTATTTTTTCCAATAACTGCATATAACCTTTAAATAATGAACCTTTAAAAACCATCTCTAATTTTGATGGAGAACTTACTCAACTATATAGTGAACATAGCTTAATCAGCCTATTATGAGTCAAGATCATTACTTTTGACATCATGAATTATGTGAAGCTGCTGTATTGATCTAAGAGTTGCACTCATATTAGTTTGCACTTTGATTTTCCCCAAACTGCTGTACCTTTGTGTTTCTCTTATTTTTTAAATTCTTTTGTTTTCTTACGTATATAAGACATACAGAAATATATAAACATTTTTAAAAGATGGTCTACTTCAACCCAACTCCCACCCCTATACTTTATTTACCTTCCCTGTGTATAGCAATGTAATCAATATTTGTATTTTAAATGTATTATATTTATAAATCTATGATATTTCTATTGAATTATATCAATTTGTTAAAGTATTCCAGGAATTTCAAAATATTTCTGGGCAAGACATAGTGGATGCCATTAACGAATGCTATGATGGATACTTTCAAGAGTTGCTAGTTGCGATAGGTGAGTAATATTTTAGTTAGTGTACAGCAGACCTTTTATTCCACCACAAATGCTGATTGGCTCTGATTATGTTAAAGATGCATGAGTAAGCTATTGGTTGAGTCACTTTCTCCTAAATTTAGTTATTTAGAAGGGATGTTAACTTTATAGAGGAAAAGTACATCAGCTACAGATCCAATGCACTAAACTGGCACACTGACCACTTTAATGAATGAACATACTTCCCTAATAGCTGGTTCAACTTCCATACTAGGAAACATTGGGTTCTCAAATGTGTTCTCTCTTTTTCTTTCTCTCTCTTTTTCTTTCTCTGTCTCTCTCTCTCGCTCTCTCTCTCTCTCTCTCCCTCTCTCTCTCTCTCTCTCCCGTAATTGGGATCTCACACCTTTAAATTCATTTGTTTTCCATTCCCTTGTTAAAGAGCAGATTAATGCTAACAATATGGGTTATTTTTCTCCATGAGGAAAAGAGTGTTTTGATACCATGTCTAATAAATTGATGCCTTTAGGGGTAAGTCTTACTATAGAAAAAGATTTACCAAGTTGTTCCTTTAGTGGTGATTTCTTCAGGCTACTGTGAGGAAGTATACTTTCCGCTTCCTCCTAAGTGAATGAAAGTATCCCCACATAAAGGAGAAACAGTGGTAACTATCCGTAAAAACTGCTATTAACTTCCCAAGCTTTCCTCTGTGCTGTGCTATGGCTTGAGAGCACACATTGCAAACATTACAAATAAGGGATCGTTTTAATATATTGCTTTTAGTAGGCAAACATTAAGTACTCAGATATTTGTTGAACGAATGAATATTGTGGTTTTTCCATCTCTAAAGTGACAAAGACATACATGGGCATGGAAGCTGAAAAATAACAGAATTTTAAGAAATTTTAAGCTAGGGTTCCATAAAAAAGGTTTGGTGGGTTCTATGAAATCCCTAAAATAGTATACAAAATATGAACACTTGTGTATTTTTCTGAGAATAATGTACATACATTTCAGTAAATTTTCAATATAATTTAATAATTGCATACTCACATCTAAACTCCTCATTTTGCACACAAGGCCTAAGGAGGTTAAGCGACTACTCCAAAGTCTATCAACTCATTAGCTATCAAGATATAACTAGAACCCATGCCATCTGAATCTCCAGATAGAGCTCTCTTTCCACTAGACTGCAGCCACAAACAAAGTAAAAAGAACGAACTCTTACCATTCGCAACAGCATGGATGGACATGGAAAGCACTGTGCTAAGTGAAATAAGCCAGTCAGAGAAAGATAAATATCACATGATCTCACTCATTTGTGGAATATAATGAACAACATAAACTGATGAACAAAAATAAATCCAGAGACAGAGAAGCATCAAACAGACTGCAAACTTCAGAGGGAAGACAGGGGAGCAGAGGGTAAGAGATCAACCAAAGGACTTGTATGCATGCATATAAGCATGACCAATGGACACAGACATTAGGGGGGCCCAGGGGGGGGTGGCCAGGGAGAGGTCAATGGAGGAAAAAGGAGACATATGTAATACTATGTATAATAATTTAAACAATAAAGAATGAAAAAAATAAAAATAAATAAATAATTAAAATTAATAAAATAAAATAAAAAACACACAAAAAAAGCACAAAGCAGTGGGCGTCAGACAGAAAATAGTGGACATTAGAAATAACAAAACAATTTAACTGCTTCATTCATTCATATTAATTATTTATTATTTTGGTCATTGATTTAGGCACTGCATATGGGACAGTAAAACCACAACAAAAGCAACAAAAGTCCCCATCCTTAAGGCACTTACATTCTAGCAGCATTCTATTTATTTTGTATAGAAGTTATAGACATACATACATTACTCATTTCTTTCTTAATTGATTGACTTATTCAAATAAATAATATTGAATGTCTATAATCATCAACTGACTTTTATCAAGGACTACTGTTATCTAGACTCTTAGGCTGTTCTAATGCTATCATTGTTTTGATGAAATGATTTCTAACACTGATATAGACCAGTTATTTTCCATATAGTTTCTTCTTAAGAGATTTAGATCTATTCACAAATCTATATCCTAAAAATAGTGTTCAGGAAGATGAACCACTTGTAAGGGGTTATGTCACATTGAATTCTACAGTAATAAAAATCTATAACAGTGGTGGTAACCTGGGTCTTTTTGAAGCTCTATTAATTTTCAGATAAAGAGGACACATTTTATGGAGGAAATAACTGGGTGTGTGTGTGTGTGGGGGGGTGTCCCTCAGCCCAGCCTGCCCCCTCTCACATACTGGGAGCCCTCAGGCGTTGACCCCCATCACCCTCCAATCGCAGGATCGGCCCCTTGCCCAGGCCTGATGCCTCTGACAGAGGCGTCAGGCCTGGGCAGGGGACCCTCATTTCCCCCCATCACTGGTTCTGCCCCCAGCCCAGGCCTGATGCCTCTGGCCCAGGTGTCAGGCCTGGGCAGGGGACCCCCAGACCCCTATGATTGCTGGCTCTGCCCCTTGCCCAGGCCTGATGCCTCGGCCAGAGGCATAGACCCCCATCACCCTCCGATCACCTGATCGGCCCCTTGCCCAGGCCTGAGGCCTCTGGCAGAGGTGTCAGGCCTGGGCAGGGGACCCCCAGCTCCCCGGCGGTTGCAGGCTCCGCCCCTGCCCAGGCCTAACGCCTCTGGCCTAGGCGTCCAGCCTGGGCAGCAGGGACCTGCAGTGGCAGCGGCCCCGCGATTGTGGGCTTCGCTTTAGGCCCAGGCAAGGGACCCCTAGCTCCTGGGACTGCCAGCTTCGACTGTGCCCAGCTCCCATCGCTGGCTCCACCCCTACTTCCTGCTATCACTGGCCAGGGCGGAAAAGGCGCCTGATTCTCCGATCATGGCTGGGGTGCAGGGCAAAGGCGGCCCCAGGGAGGCCTTTGCCCTGCCCCCCAGCTCTTAGCTCCCCCCTGGGTTTCCATCACTGTCAGTGGCAGGGGGCTTCTTCCTGCTTTCCCTTTCGCCTCCCTGCATTGTGGCTACATATGCAAATTAGCCGCCATCTTGTTGGCAGTTAACTGCCATCTTAGTTGGCAGTTAATTTGCATATAGCCCTGATTAGCCAATGAAAAGGGTAGCGTCATATGCCAATTACCATTTTTCTCCTTTATTAGTGTAGATTTCTTTATGTTTTTTATTGGTTACCACTAATCTCAATGTTGAAATTGCAATACAGTATATAATGACAGATCCTACATAGAGCTCACAAAGACCTTTCCAAGACTGTAACAGAAAAATAGTGTGCTCATTGTTTCTCAAATTTTGGAGAAAATATATATTGTTGCTCTCAAACTTTCTTTTTTTCTCTGATTTTTTTCTAGTTCTCTGTGTTCGAGACAAACCAGCCTACTTTGCTTATAGACTACATAGTGCAATCCATGTAAGTATGACCCACATATTTAAAAAATTTCTCCAGAAGTCGTGTCTACTTCCTCAAGTTACTAATTTTACTTCCATTATTTAAATATTGATTGTCATTTTTAAACTTGTGTACAAGTATACTCATTAAAAAGAAAATATGTTCAAGTGAAAAATATATTATATACCAAATGATACCCATCAAATAAAAATAATCCTCTTCTTCCTATATCAAATTGAGGAACCTAAGAAATATGATTCCTTGGGGCCTAGCTTCTGCATGTGCTTTAGCATTTCTTAGCAACTGAACAAACTGGTAAATCCAAATGCTTTATTCTTTTTTCCTTAATCTTTACCCGAGGATGTGTTTATGGAAGAGAGAGAGAGAGAGAGAGAGAGAGAGAGAGAGAGAGAGAGAGAGAGAGAGAGAGGTTGCCTCTCAAAACCTAGGTATGTGCACAGGACAATGATGCTCTAACCAAATGAGTCACCACGTTGGGTTAAATGCTTTTGTATCTTGCTAAAGACCTTAACCTCATACTTACTGCAAGTGCAAAACATATGGCATAGAGCAGAAAATGTCAAAACATTACATACTCTGCGTAAGAAATTGCACATTCCTGAAATTTAAAAACACAAAATAATGTCAGTGGTTATATTTAAACATCAAATCTTATTTTAAAAATAATACTCAAAAAATATAGTTAGACAGCAGTAAACTCTAAAACTATTTTTGTTAAGTGAGAATGTTTTTCAGTAGTTTAGTATGCTAGTCAATTTCACATCCTTTGGTTCATTCATTTTTAAAGAAACTAACACTTAAATGCCTGAGAAAATTCATACCTTATCCATTATGTGCACAAAACATATGTAGAAAAAGAAAAGGCCTGATACAAATCATTATACATATGTCAAAGCCTTGAAAACTCAATGGAAATTATTTAAAACAACCCACTAGTACGGTAATTTTAATCGTAAGAGTATTTTTTTCTCAAATAAATTTTAACAAACTTCTTATAGTTTGTTAAAATTATAGTTCTTATTCCACCACACTGGGATATTATGCTAATTGTCAAGAATATTTCTGCTACATACATTGTGTAAAGAGTATTTTTCTTATTTATGTGCAAGAACCTATGTATCCTCAGAAAAGGAAGATTAAATGTTCATTATCCTCCATTTCTCTTTTATTCTATTTCCAAGCAGAAAATGTTGATTTGATTTTAAAAAATTATATAAAAGGGTGTATTGGGTAATGCTATTAGATGATTACAACAGTTTTCTTCTCCAACAATAGAATAAAGCTTCACCTGTGAGTGAAGATGGGAACATAATCACAATTACCGACTCTTATTATGCCCACATGAGGGCTACTTATTCTGCTGCTAAATAAAAACTGTACCCCTGCTGTGTGTTGCAATGCAAACAGGAAGTTATGTGTACCCCCAAATGGTATGAAAGTAAAGAGGGGGATTATATATTTATCAAATAATTAAATTTGTCATACATGAGGCTCTTAAATGTACAATATTGGTCCAAAGCTGTGTTCACAACCCCTAGCCAGAGAAAATCTTTGTGTCTTCCTCCAGTGAATGATATGTGAGTTAAATATGGAAATTTGGTTAGATCACTCATTTTAGTCACCTCAAATTAGGTAAAGCTTTTTAGTGGGCCTGCACCTAAAACATTGACATCAAATATTAGTTTATGCTGACTGGCCACTGGATGTCACCATTCCTCCATTTAAAGAGACAAGTTGTAAAACTATTCTTTCTGAAGCTAGTACACAAATATTGATTTTTTATTTTTATTTTTCAGTATTTGAGCTTAAATCAGCAAATATTTCAAGTACCTAAAATTTTAATTTTTATAATTGAATCTGACTTGGGCACTCCCTGAATGGTGATGCCCGTGGTTGAGGGATGCAGGGAGAAGAGCAAGTTGCTATAGAAAAGAGGAGGGGTCTATGTTAGACAGATAAATTATAAGGTACTATTCTCTAATTTTTTTTCTTCCCTTTTCTGTATCTTTTAGGACTTTGGTTTCCATAATAAAACTGTAATTAGGATTCTCATTGCCAGAAGTGAAATTGACCTGATGACCATCAGGAAACGATACAAAGAGAGATATGGAAAATCCCTATTTCATGATATCAAAGTAAGCCTCCCATACGTGATTTATTTTGACCCATAGTTGGTTCTTTTTGAAACTTAAATAAGAGATTTAGGTTAAATAACTTCATGTTATAATCTAACAAGTTAAGTAAACTGACAGGGATAATGGACTTCAGTACATCAGGCAGTCTAGTGCAACAAGAGTACTGAGGAAATCCCTCCACATCAGTTACAGATCTTATTCCTCTTTCACATGTTTTAAGCAAACATCATTGATGTAATCACACACAGCATTAATTTCCTAATTGTGTAATTGTGTTTTATGAGCTAAATGCTGAAGAACTGAAGTATGACCAGCATTGAGAAAAATACATTTTGCAAGAAGACCACATTGTGAAAAGGTTTCTAAGATCAGTTCAGCTGTCCTCCCATATTGTCATAGTAGGCAGGATAGCCATAGATGGTAATTTGGAGGAATTTAATGCTGATATGTAAAATTCTATGCATTCCTATCCCTTTAGCTTTTGAAAGGGGAAGAAGTAATGATTCAGAAGTAAGCAAGCCAGTTTTATCATTCTGATATGTTTGAACTTTACCCTGGATTTTGATAAAACCTAGCAAAGAATTATCATACTATATAGAACCACCTATGTAATTTGTGGTACCGAATAGAAAAGGAAAATGATAGATCCCTTTTACAAAAATTATAAAGAATTTCAAGATGGCACCAGTGGAACCTTAAACCAAGCACAGACCCTGAGGATATATTTTAAATTCTATTTCCCACATACTTACCTTGTTCACAATGGTTTCCACTGAAATTTTCAATTGCATGAATGGCTTTTTAATAGAAAGTGAGATACAGAAGCAACTCAACAACCCAAAGATCAAGAGACCACAAAAACAGAAGACCTGATAGGCCCCTGAGTAGCCAAAGTGGTTTTTAGGAGGAAGAGTTTTGGTAGACCAGTTGAGATAAATCTTATCCCTGTGTCTTTGATTAAACTCTTGTTAACCCATTTCAAACCCTAAATTTTTAGTGATGATAAACATTACTCATTGAGAAATGCATGTCATAACTCATTTTCTAACTAAACTAATTATAATACATTTACTGCAAATAATTACAGCCACGTCAAAATCTACTAATATTTACATATTAATATTTCACTTTACTATGTTGGTTTAAAGCAGTAAATTATAATTACATTACATTGTATAAGAGAACATTAATATGATGATTGATTCTTAACAAAGATAGGTTTTAGAATTCCATTTATTTACTACTCTCATTGTTTTGAAAAACTTAGAAATAATAGAAGCGAATAAAAAGAAGATAAGTTACCCTAATTGTCCACCACAGATAATAACCATCATAAAATTTATTTTAGATGCTTTCTGTCTTTTTAAATATATATATATATATATATATATATATATATATATATATATATGTTTTACCACTCAGAGGAGTATTTTTATTGCATAACTTGGAAAGTACATGAACTACTCCACATTATTACATATTGCTTTTTAATTTTTCATTATCATATATATTATAGCATAAATCTTCATGCTCATAAATAATTGATAATTATTTCCTTTGGATTGATTTCATGAAGTAGAATTACTTCATTGATTAATGTTAACATTTAGAAGTCTTTTTAAGGCATATTGCCAATTTGCCCCCCCCCCCACACACACACACACTATCAAGATTTATAGCAATATTAGAAAACTTCTTTCTAAAGTTGAGAAGACGATTTAATGCTACTTCAAGTTACTCTTCTTATAAATACACATTAGGGTTCAATCAACTGTATATAAACCCCATTCTATCGACCATGGTATTATATTTCAGCAATTTCCACTGGGAATAATTCTCAGGAAACATTAAAATCTTTAGATGAAAAAGTAAATACTTTTGAATAGGCTAATAGCCCATGGGTCTTTCATACTGTAGTTCAGAGAAGTTATGCTTCTTTTTAGAAATATTGTGACATTTGATTTAAAATGCATTATTTCTTACAGAATTTTGCTTCAGGGCACTACGAGAAAGCGCTGCTTGCCATCTGTGCTGGGGATGCTGAAGACTACTGAATCGGGGGAAGGCTTTGGAGCACTGTGCACGCCTCTTCATAGACATGTCAAATACAGATTTTGTCGTGAATTTGCATTGTTAGTAGCATTGTAACAAAACTATGAATCATATTCCCTCTTCTATCTTTAAAATTATTCTAAGCCAAAGAAAACTGTGTTGATACATTTATGTGAGACTGGGTTTTTACTTATTATCTAAATCAAACATTTATTAAATTGTGTATAATGGAATAATAAAAAATTATTACTTTGAATTCGATTTTATTTAAATATAAACCATTGACTTTGTACAACAAGAGATTCTGCTTATGGCTGCCCTTAGCATGCTTTGGGAGACTAATGGAAACACAATGTGTGGCCACGCCCCTTAGAAGAATTTTTAAAACTCTTGGACAAACGCAATAAATCTAGAGTGAACATGTAAAGCCATCTTTAAAAGCAGATAAAGTGTTCTGGCCCTGGCCAGGTGCCTCAGTTGGTTGGAGCATTGTCCCATACACCAAAAGTTTGTGGATTTGATCCTTGATCAGGGTACGTATGGGAAGCAACCAATCAATGTTTCTCTCTCTCCCTTCTTCTCTCTCTAAAATCAATAAACATATCCTCAGATGAGGATCAAAAAAGAAAAAGAAAAGAAAAGAAAGGTATTATACAGCACAATGCAGTCAGATATATGCTTGTCAGGCTCAGATGTGCAAGACACTTTGATGTAAAAATAAGAGTGTGTGTGTGTGTGTGTGTGTGTGTGTGTGTGTGTTTGATAACCACTCTGGTAAACGCAATTTATTTCTAGCTAATTTTTTTTTTAATGTTGGTGCCTAAACAACCATTTGCTCATTGCTTTTTGTTTTCACTTCTTAACATCAGCATCAAAGTCTTTTGAAAATTACTTCATGCTTTGTGCCATCAGTTTAGCCTCATCCCTTATGTGTTTCAACATTCAGTAAATTAGGAGCAGCAAGCAACAACAACAAAAAAATACTCACTGAGGTCAGATTTGGGGGAGAATCTAGACTAATGCCACAACGTAGCCTAGAGTAAAAGCAGAGATGAGCCCACAACAGAGGCTCCCAAAGTAAGAGGAAACACAAAAACTGAGATCATGGACAGCAGTGATTCATGAAGTCACCCAAGGAAAATGAGAACATATATGCAATAAATCTAGATGAACTGGTGAAACTGATAGAAGTGCTTTACTCCACTGCAACATTTTTTAGTTGCCTATTGCCCATTTCCTATAGATCTGTTTCTACTGGTGTCAGGAGAAAGGAAAGATGTACTCAGAACCCAGTGTCTGATGGGAGGAATGACACAGGGCATTTAGCACACAATGCCTGGGTACAACATAGGACAATTCAGACTTCTGAAATTACTTTCATTGTGTAAGATTCACAATGAAATATTACTCAGCCACAGAATGAAATCTCACCTTTTGCTACAGCATGGATGGACCTAGAGGGTAATATGCTAAGTGAAATAAGCCAGACAGAGAAAGACAAATACTATATGATTTCACTTGTAAGTGGAATCTAAAGAACAAAAATAAGTGAAAAAACAAAATAGAAACAGGCTCATAGATATAGAGAACAGACTGGTGGTTGCCAGAGAGGGGAGGTTGTGGGGCTGAGTTAAAAAGGTAAAGGGATTAAGAACAAATTGGTAGTTACAAAATAGTCACAGTTACACAAAATGTTAAGTACAGCATAGAGAATATATCAATAATATTGTAATAACTATGTGTGGTGCCAGGTGAATATTTGAAATATTAGGAAATATTTGAAATATACTTTGTAAAGTATATGATTGTCAAACCACTATGCTATAAACCTGAAACTAATTCAAAATAATATTGAATATAAGCTGTTGAAAAATAAAATAAAATAATTCAACTTATTGCTATGGTATATGATATTATATTATTTTAACTTGAGCTTGGTTTCTATCTTTTGAAATATCATTACATTTAAAGCTAAAAATAGTAATTGCTCAAGACATTTGACATAGCTACTATACAAGCTAAAATTCTTGGAAGAAAAAAATTGTTAGAATTGCTGTTGAGAATTTAGATAAAAAATAAAAAATTTCCTCAATGGACATCTTTCAATAAATTTTTCAATAAACTGTGAAATCTACACTTTAGCTAGGTAATACATTTTATTTCATCAGCACAGCAAGAAAATCAAATAAAAAACAAATCCAGACTTAAATGATGAGAGACTTTATTTGAAGAAAAACACACAATTACTGCTACAAGTGGAGAGGCCTAGTGCAATAGGGAAAGGGGGGCTGATGAAATAGAAAAGCACTCTGCCTGTGAGATTTTCGGTGGTCTCAAGGTCAGTCAGAACATAATTTTAATTTCTATGGATAGAAAAACAAGGCTAGAAATAATTATGTATGAAGAAATGGCATGAATGTGTGGTAATCTGGGGATGTCTTTGGTTGAGCTTCCTAGTCATAGTTGCTCTGAGATTGGACAGTTGATCAGGGATAGCTGATCTGAGAATGCCCCTAGGTGATTTTCAGGAAGGCCCTAAGGGTAGATTAAGGGTCAGGACCTCTGGGGAGGGGAGAAGCCTAACTAACATTGGTCAAGGCAAGCAAGCAGGTTTTTGTCAGCAGGAGGGAACAGTTCAGCTAATCATTTAGGAGGCAAAGAATGGGAGTTGGGAGTGGATATTGAAGATTATCATAGGAACACAAGGGTGTTACCTGTAAATCTAATCTATGTCACAGAAGAAAGGGTGGTTCTTTGCGGTAAACCATTTTGTGAGACACAAAAGGGCCGGAACATTTCTTGGCCCTTTCTGTTTTCTAGGAGCACAGTACTTGAGTAAAATGTAATATTCAGTCTATTGCTTTTTTTCTTAAGACTGAATTGAATGCTTTACTCAGCTGTTTAAATGCTAACACAACATTGTCATCTTCATCATCACATAATTCACTCAGTGAAATCCTGTAAAAGATTAAGAGTTTAAATTATTACCATTGTTATTTCTACTTAATGGTACTTTGCTGGCTATAGGATCTTTAAATGCAAAAATCTTTACTATACCTGATGGACTGAACAGTCAGTGCAAAATCCCTGATAAGAGTAAAAGCATCTCCCATATTTAACCTATGGGGGGAAAAAGACAAAGTAACATTTAAAGAATACATTGCTTTTTGGTGTGTCATCAATCTACAGTAAAGGAAATAATAAGTGACTACCTAATTCTGACCTTTCCACAAAAAATAAAAACACATATGGAAAGACTGCAGAGAAGTGTTTGTGTCCTTTGCACCCAGTATTTTACTATGCTCATTTTACTCCTAAATTGACTAAACTAGTAGAGGCTAAGCATTTCTATAAAAAAATTATGACTTGCAGTTTTCATATATCAGCATATTATTATTATTACTGAATTTAAGTATTTCACACATATTCAAAATGGTGCCAAATATAAGAGATGCCACTGAAAATGCAGTGTAGGCAGCTCCAAGGACCCGTCTCTTCACAGAAACATCAATATATATACTACACATATATATTATATGTATAGATGCATAATACATATATATGTATAAATGTAAAATATATGCAGGAACTGTCAGAATCAACATTGTTAGAACTCTGGAAAACAGTCAAAGGTTTAACTCAAATAATGAAAAAGGTAGGGGAAGCTTTGTGAGATCTTTATTTGCCCTCTCCCCACAGTTCTTCCAGCACAGGGGCAGTCTGTGTTCCCAGTGTGGCCCTGACCCCTGATTCCAGGGGGAGCAGAGCTGACCTTATTAACAAGGGGTGTGTTCATCAGTCTGTTCTAACCTGTCTGGGAACTGTGTGAAGGCCTGAGGTGAGGCACTTGTCTTTGTTTTGCCTAGCTTGAAACTCAGGAAGGACAAATGGAAAGTCAGGGGAACTACTGCAGCTACCTAGGGCGAAAGATTGCAGTTGTGTCAAAATGATTGAATAATGAAAGCCTGTGAGAAAAAGCTGGGAAAGAGTAACCAGTATATTAAACATTTAGAAAACCATTCTCATACCTAGGGCAGGACGCATGCTCAGGAAATAGCTGAGAAGACCCCCTGGCTGATCTCTAAGATTAGTGCAAGCAGGAAGTGAAGCGTAAGGCAGAATTGTCAATAAACTTAGTGTGGATAGGAGTATCTTAACATAGAGCCGAAATGCAAAAATTGGGAGAAATTTTTTCTTCCATTTTTCCCCCTCTTCTCCTCTTCCTCCTTCTTCTTCTCCCCCCCCCTTCTTGTGTTCAAAAACATCTTCGTCAAAACACTAGCTGAATACAAACTAAAGACACAAGGACTTCAGAGATCACACACAGTGAAGAATACAGACTTTAAAAAATTTATTTAGAAAAGCCACTAAGCAAAACAATAGCTATGGTGAACAGCTAGAAACAAAAACAACAAAACCTGAAAATCGAGAAAATTTCAGAAATACAACGTTTTAATATTCAAATGTACAGTTCTCAAAAACAATTTTGAAGCATGAGAAGAAACAAGAAAATGTGCCCATTGATAAAATTATCAGAAACTATCCCGTAGAAACAAAAAAGGTATAAGACATAAAAAGCAAATACAAAAATGGAAAAGTAAGTTCTTCCTCATCAGTAATTATTTTAAATGTAAATAAATTAACTTATTTGATGAAAAGAAAAAGACTGGTCAAATGGATAAAAAATAAGCATCATCCAACTATATACCCTTGGTTTAAGGAAAATGTTTAGCAGCTAGATAGAGGTAGTTGTTTGTACAACATTACGAATGTACCAAATGTGGCCAAATTGTTCACGTTCATATGGTTATTTTTATGTTATGTGACCTTCCCCTCAATAATAAGTAGTATTTTAAAATAGTTTTGAGTAAAATGCATCTTTATGACTCTTCTTAAGTAATTGCACCTTAAAATCATCCTCATAAGTTACAATGCCACAGCACAACAAACATTAATTACACAAACACACATATGTCTACTAGTATAAAGATGTTAAAATAGA